GGCTAGGTGGGAGCACGGGGGTCCATCATATGGGTGGTGGGTTTGCTGGTGTTGGCGGCAAGCGCGCCGATGCAGCCTGGGAGTGCGGCCCTTGGGTCACCCTCCGCAACATCGGTGGCCCGGCAGCACACAGCTGTGCACGCGCACGCGCGCCGCTCGCTGCATCCATGGACAGTCAGCCCTGACGCTTGACCCCCTTGCCCTCGCTTTGACCCCCCGCCTCCGGGTGTACCCACGCCTCACCCTTGCAGGAGGCCGCCTCCGCGCACGCCGTGGCTGCGGGGCCCTCGCCCGCCCATACCCTGTACAGCACCACCGGACCAGAGCAGGCGGCCTCGATCCAAATCTTCAAGCGCCTCGGGTGGCACCTGCGCGGCTGCGTCGAGCTGTGGCCGCCGTCCTCTGCATTGGGGCAATTTGAAAAGAAGATTGGCTGGCCCGCCACCCAGGCTTCATTCGACAAGACCGGCTCCATGGTTGAAATGATGCCAGGGGCGGCCGAGCTGCTCGCGCGCCGCGCCGCGCCGCCGGGCGCGTGGCGGCGGTGCGAGGGCGTGAGGGAGCTGGCGGCGGCGCTCGAGAGCGTGCGGCGGCGCCAGCGGCGCTGGTGGCGCGCGCACGGCGCGGGCAAGAGTGCCGCGGCCGGCGACGGCGACGGCGGCGACGCCCCCTTACCAGATTGGCTGCCCTGGGTGTATGACGTGTTTGGCGCCCGCAGCAGCGACTGCAAAGAGATCTTCGATGGAAGCTGGGCAGGCGCCGAGGTTTGGCTGCTGCCGGCAGGCGCGGCTGACGCGCCCCGGGCCGGCGAGGACAACGGCGAGTGGGACGCGGTCGTGCTGTTGGCGCCGTCCAAGCTCTTCCGCCGCCAGGCGATGGGGGCCGTCGTCGCCAGGCCCGACCTCATCGCACCCTGCGTCGCGCGCGCGGCCGAGGGGAGCCCGCACTTCGTCTGCTTCATCGACCAGGGGGCGCGCTACTGGGGCGCGCCGGCGGAGGGCGCAGACACAACCGCGTGGCCCGAGCTGTATCGGCATGTGGCGGCGCCCCTATTCTGTTACTATGTTTTGAACAAACCCGCCTCAGAGATAGCTGTTCCAGTGAGCGCTTTGTCCTCCCATCTGTGAAAACTGGTGGAACGAATCAGCCTGCAAGTGTTTTGACCTTTGTCACAACCCCCCCTTCTCAAGTCGTACTGCATCATCTTGCGAGGCGCTTTGGAAGTTGCACTTTTCCAACCCCCCTCGATTGCATAACCATCACTGGCAAGGGAATTTGCTCCGTCTGTATTGCCGTGTTCACTTTGTGAGAGCGTTGACAGCGCACAATGTGCAAGCTTTCCGTTGCCTTACCCCCTTTCTGCTTGAAATGGTACTGGCATCAGTTGTCGACTGCTACAGAGCTCTGTTCCGTTCCCCTAGCCTCAGGCAATCTTCACGAGCATGATACTTCCCCAAGCCCAAACTGACGCGAGTGCCATGCTTGCTGCCCTGCACCTTGCCAGCTGAGACACATTGCGCTGCCTCGACTTCGCACTCGACCACGCTGCCCGTCAGCGCGTACCACACAAAACACCTGGCTTGCAACAGATGGGGCAGCCACTTTGCGGAGCTGCGGCGGGACCCAGTAGCCTGAGCACCAACAGGTGCTCATTGGGCCCACTGTTGGCCGAGCTGCTGCCAGCTCTGCAGCGGCTGGCGCCGCCGAGTGTGGGCCGGCTGCTCAAAAAGACCTCAGCATAACAGAGATGATGCTGCCCTCTTAGTGCTGGCCTCAAAGCAGCTAATGCTGCAGCGTCTGCAGGCAGCAGATGGCACCTTGTGGGTTGAAGTCACCTCGCTGCTTTGATTATTCAAGCGGCGCAGACAAGGACAAAGCTGACGTTGGAACGTTGTGAGACGTGCTTTCTCGGCCGCTGCCAAATTCGTGCGCATCGGGGCCTTCAGGCGGTTGCTAGCGACCAGTCGTGGTCCCTACGGCCTGTGACCTATGTGGCCAGTGGCAGTCAGGAGGTCGCGCTGCGCAGCAGGCTTGGCCTCACTGCGTGCAAGTCTGGTAGCTGAGCTCACCGGCCCGCTGGTGCTCTAGACAATGTCATACGGGATGGACACCTGGCGCAGGTGCAAAGAGATGACATCTCATGCAAGGGCCAGCACGCAGTTGACTGCTGAGCCGGCCTGACCAATGCGGGACGGGTGAGGGCGGGTGTCACCTGACGGGTGCCGTGGCAGTGACCTACACCACCCGGCGGCAAAGGTACCAAGAGGTGGGGTCATGGTGTGTTCTTCTGTCATTCCCAACGCAATGGCCCTACCTGGCAAGCTCAATACTTCCATTTGAATCAGCCTGTGATCATCTGATCTTCCAGTCCTGTGGCTTTGACAATCAAAGCAATCGCATCAGAATTTTTTTCAGACGAATACTTAGCCATGGGGTGGACGGCGCTCTGCATGGCGGTCTGGCTTGCGTGGCCAGCTCTGATATTGCTGCCATGCCATGCGCTCCCCGCCTCAACGGCGGTTTCCGGGCATGGAATACATGAATTGTCTACCACTGCACCCTTTGATCGGATGGCGGGTACGTGTGGCGATTATACTGCGCGGCACTTTGCACTCACGCTCTGCATTGCGCATGACAGCACCAGCATGTTGGCGCTCAGGCGCAAGGTTCCACATGATTCTGGAACCGCCCACAGGAGGCTGGCAGCAGTGGCCTCCGTCCCGCAGCGGCGCATCTCCCCTCGCGGCAGGGGCCCCCCTTGCCGCCCGCCATTGCTGACCGGTCCCCATCACCGGCTGAGAAGCTCCAATCACCGCCCACGCAGATCTGATTGTCTCACATGGCTATCCCTTGGAGGAGCATTTTGTCACAACAGAGGACGGCTACATATTGAGGCTCTTCCGTGTGCCGCACGGCCGGCCGCAGCCGTCGTCAATCGCCGGCAGCGGCAGCCGCAGCAGCCGCAGCAGCAGCAGCAGCAGCAGCAGCAGCAGCAGCAGCAGCAGCAGCAGCAGCAGCC